TCAGTGCAATCCCAATTGAAATACCAACAACTTCACAGAACTAAAAAATATAGTGAATGGCCATACTTCCAAAACTGCTCTATAGATTCAGTGCAATCCCAATTGAAATACCAACAACTTCACAGAACTAAAGGAAACAATTCAAAAATTCATTTGGAAACAGAAGAGACCTAGAACAGCAAAAGCAATTCTAGGCAACAAAGACAAGGTAGGGGCTATCACAACCTCCAATTTAAAACTATTCTATGAAGCTACTGTGATTAAAAACAGCTTGGCACTGGTGAAGAAACAGACCAAAGAAATAATGGAACAGATGAGAAAATGTGGAAACAACCCAAGACATACTCAGCTACCTCATCTTTGACAAAGGAGTCAAACTCCAAGGAAGGAAGTAAATAAATTATAAATTTAGATAAAAGAAGATAGATAAAATATATTAGGGGTGACAAAATACAGTGAGTGTTTAAATTGAAAACTTTTTTACAGTAACAGACACATTGTCATTAATACCCCTTAAAATGCTCAAAATACTCCTCTTTGCCTCAAACACACTTATTATTGTTCTGATAATGTGTCTTTTACTGTAGTAAGTTTTTTAAATTTAAATGTCCACAATATTTTTCAATCCTGTTGTATGTAAAACATAAAATCACAAAACTCTTAGAATAAAACATAGAAAAAAATTGTCAAGATCCATGAATTCTTCGAAATGAAAAGTTGTTAGATAGGATGCCAAAATGATTTATAAAAATTGGTAGATTGGACTTCCTTAGATTAAAAGCTTTGGTCTGTGAAAAGCCCTATGAATAACACGAAAAGACAAGCTACAGTCTAGGAGAAAATATTGCCAAACCATTCCTTTTATAATGGACTTATACCTAGAATACACCAGGAGGGTTCAAATTCAACATCAAAAGATGCAGATACCTATTAGGAGATAAAGGTGACAATAAACACATGAAAAAATAGTGCAACGTCATGATCCATTACCGAAATACAAACTAAACCACAAGACATCACTACACACCTACTGGAATGACTAAAATTTAAAAAATGGAGGTCAAATACTGGAAGGGGAGCAGAGAAAGTAGATCTGATGGGAATTGGTGGCGGGAATGCAACACTGGAATATAATATGAAACTGAATATACACTTTCAATACAATACAGCAATTATGCTCTTGGGCATTTATGTCAGAAAAATGAAAACTTGAATACAAAAACTGTGCATGAATGTGTGTGACAGATTTATTTATTGGGGGCCTCAAACTAGAAACAGCACAAATATCCTTCCATAAGTGAATGAATACTATTTAATAAGAAGGAACAAACTAATGATGTGCGCAATAGCTTGAATGAGTTTTACAGGTAATGCATCCCTGGTGAAAAAAGTCACTCTCAAAAGAATGCATAATATGTGCTTCTCTTTGTATATAATTTATGGCTCACAACTAGATGTCTTCCCCAAGCCTACTGTACTCATAGATCAGGCCTTTGGGAGTTACTGGATCATGGATACGTGACACTGGCCCAGCCTGCTGATTGGACTGGCATAGTTTTGAGTGTGGGTGAGGGACTTACTGAAGAAGGAAGACCCATCCTGGGTGTGAGTTGCATCCACCAATAGGCTTACAGCCTGGATGGAATAAAAGGGAAAGAAGGAAGTGTTGCTGTTTCCTGCCTGCCTTGCCATGAGCTCTTTCTCTTTTGTCATGCCCCTCTGCCATGCCACTGTGCCCTAGAGCAAGCTATCAACTGAAACCTCTACAAACTGTGAGCTAAAATGAACCTCTCCCTCTTTAATTTGTAGGTACTGGGTATTCTGTCCCAGCAAAGAGAAATAATTAAGACATATATCACCTTCAGAATGACAAAACTACAGAGATGGAAGATAGACTAGTGGTTACCAGAGACAAAGATGGCTTTGGGAATAGGGGCTTGACTATAATGGGTGACATGAGGAAGTTCTTTTTGGTGATGATACAGTTCTGCATCCTGATTATGGTTTCACAAATCTATACATGGGATCATAGAACTATGTACAACATGTGCATGTGCATACATACAGCCACACATGAAAGTGGATACATGTTGAAAGTGGCAAAATTTCTGCCAGTTGTAGTGCCTCGTGCCTATAATTCCAGCACTTGGGAGCCTAAGGCAGGAAGACTGCTTTGAGTTCAATCTGAACTACAAAGTGAGACCCTGTCTCCAAAAGCAAAACAAAACAAAAAGAACAAAAAAGAAACTGATAAAATTCGAATAGGCTTTTATTCAGTAGTATTGTGCCAATGTCAATTTCCAGGGTTTGGTTGTCCTACTGTTGTGTAATTTATTAGCATGGGAGCACGCTGGGTAACAAATTAAAGGGACTTCCTAAGAGTCCCTAATCATTACAGAATTTTTTAAAAGTTAAAAAAAATAAATTACATGTATTTTATTGCTTTTACAGCTGGTAGGTTCAGAGGCAGCAATATTCCCAATAGTAAGTAACATACCATGTTTGGACCTTACTTTCTAATACCATTCTCCACTAAAAGGAACCAGGGGTCTTTGGAGAAATGATGGGGTTTAGGATTGGGGAAGAAAATATGCCAGATGAGACTGGAATATCTTATAATGCCAGGAAGCAAGAAAATGCTAAACTACATAAGAAGTAAAACAATGAAAGTCTATGTCAAGGGGATATAGACGTCAACTGAAAGAGTCTAAATGAATAAAACTACAAAAATCAGAGCAACAAAATCAATAAATGTTACTAGACTTAACTCAAAATATAAAATAAATTGTAGAATAAATAAATGGTTAAATAAGTAAGTAAAGGATGGCTTATAGACAAGTCACCTTTGTGAAAGAATTCCAAATCATTCAAGTAGGTAGTTTTCCCTTAAAGAAATGAAGCATTACCTTCCTGATCTTTAATTTACTCCTTTACAAAGGATCCCAGATAATTCCACCAACCATGTGTCATGCTAATAGCAAGCATTCTTGATGTGATATACTGAGAATAGTATTTTATCTCTGTGGTCATCCTCTCCCAAATCCATAATCTAAGTCTAAAAAAATTCAAACAAATTTCAGTTGAAGAACACTCTGCAAAGTACTTGACCATGATTTCTCAAAGCTGTGAAGATCATCCAAAACAGGGAAAGTATGACATTGTCATAGATATGGAGAGCCTGAGAAGACACCATACTATAATGTGAATGGGATTTCATGGAAAAAGGGCATTGAGTAAAGATTTTTAAAAGATATAAGTAAAAAAGGAAGTTAAGTGTGAGAATGAAAAATCTGTACTAACTTTGCAATTTTTCTATAAATCTCAAACTAATTTTAAAATGCTTACATAAAATTGTGACCAGATAAATGTTCACATTGAAATAGAAGGATTCTTGGACTGCTAAGACAAAACATAAAGCCATTCTGCCCAACTATATATGTTTATAAGATAAAACTAAAAATAAGGAACATAAAAATTAAAAAAAACACTAAGTATAGTGATACATCTAGGCAACATAAATGAGGAAGAACTATTACTAATAACAGCAAAGGAGAATTCAAAACAAAAGCAGTCAGGCAGGTTAATGACATTATTCTTCATGAAAAAGATATAATGGTCATTAATGTTCTGTTGTAAATATCGTAAAAATGACTTTGGAATACATGAATAATTGCATTACACAAAGAAGGGAGCTTTAATGCAGCACTCAGCCTTTGATAGATCAAACTGACACAGATAAATGGGAAAAGTGATGACTAAATAACATAACAAGCAAGATTAATTTTACATATATATCAAAAAATATGTAACCTAAGGGAATACCTTTTTTTCAAATAACCATGATATGTTTATAGAAACTTGATTATATCCAAGGTCACAAAGGAAAGTTCACTGAATTCTAAAAGTGGATTTTTATGACAGTCTTTTAAAATTACCAAATAATAAAAGTAAACTGAAGTCTCAATTGCTTTTGTAAAGTGAAGACAAATAAATATTTAAAAATTAAGAATTCAAGAATTAAGAAACTTGAATAATAAAAATCAACACAGGAAGAAACAGTATTTGTAGAACAGGAAGTAATGAATTAGAAAATTTAAAAATAAAATAGAAATTGTAAATAAAAATCCAAGAATCACTTTTGACATATCTGATAAATGTCTGGCAAGTATAATAAACAGCTAGAAAAAAAATGAGTTTAAATACAAAAATACTCAGGATTTATGGTGTGTGATCAAAATATATGGTGAATGATTACATCAAAAATTTTACTATAGTAAGACACACTGGTGTTAGTCCCATAAAAATACTTGCCCCTCCTTTTGAGCAGACATGTCCCATCATTTTGGCTACTTTCTGTAGCAGTTCTCGTAGTCCTCTTTCTTGAAAATCTTTTTGAGGTGAGATAAAAATACTCTGAATGCTGCTGTCAAGTACCGTCCAACAGAAAAGCAGACTGGTAAAGACGTCGCTGTGAGTCCTTATCCACATTTATTAACCGGATTGGGCTCCATTAAATTTCTCACTCTTCCCCAAAGTAAAAATAACCCTGAAGGGTAAGAATTTATAATCTCTTCAGGACACTGAGGCAGCTATGAGAGAGCAACTAATAAATGGTGGGGTTACTGTGCTGAGGTGAAGGGGTGAGTTTTGAGGGAGATTAATAGCAATATGTCTTTTACTATAATAATTTCAAAAATTGAAGCACTCAAAGTATTTTTCAATCACACCTTGTATCCCAAAATTCTAATTTCTTAAAACTCAAAAGATATAATTTTCAAATTTGTTGTTTAATTAGAAAATCCTAATGAATTGGATGACTTTTTGATAAAGTACACTTGACCAAAATGAGCTCAGAAGGAAAGTACAACGTTTATAATCTGAGTATAATGAAAGAGTAAAATTTAAATTACTTTCAGCAGTTATCTTTTGGTCTCATTATATGTGAACTTAACTTTTTCATGACTTCTTTCTTCTTATTTTCCTTTTATTCTCAGCTAGAGGGAATTCAGCCACGTTGCGCCCATGTTCTAGCAGCTGAAGCTAAGTCTTCCATTGGAAGGGTCATAGCTCTTTTCCAAAGCTCTATTATTTTAGAACAAAGTCTAGAGTTGCCCCATTTGCTCAAGATTTGGAGTCACTGTCACATCAATTATAACTGCAGAGGATGCAATAGAAAGGGATCTTCAACTCTACCGGAGGACAAAACTATAGTTTTTTGCTCAATTGGTAAGTCTTATTGCCGATTTGAAACTTATTCGATCTCAGCTTAGAAAATTGTTCTTATCTCTGATGCATGGGGCTGGGTGCACTACGGAAGAGAGGGAATATGAGAAAACAAGCCGAGTGTATACAAATACAGGAAGGTAGAAACTCGCACAGACAGAAAAGAAAGTTACTAGTGGGTGACAGAGCAAAACTAAATGAAACAGGTGGAAAGAATCTTCATATAATGTAGTCCAAATACGTAATTTCAGTCTATTTAATATCTAGACCTTGAGCAAGAAATAGACAGAGACCAGGAAATATCGATGTCAGCAAATTTATTTATTTATTTGTAAAAATAATTGAATATAGAGACTCAGACCAGTATAAGATAATAACAAGAAGAACGCAAACATCAGAAGTAATTAGAAGGAGCAAGGGTTTTATGGGGTAGAGATGTTCTCTTCGGTAAGAATTGATAAATTTTTTGACAATTCCTTAGTGGTGAATAATTTCAAATTTATATCAGAACATCTCTAGCATCAGAATATACTGATATCTCTTGTAGAATATATTTGATTTTTGTGTTATTTTGTTAAATAATTGGTAGGATGATGTATACATAGGTCTTATTAAAGAGCATAGGTTTAGCCACTCTCCAATTGTCATTTTATTAAATTTTCAGGATCCAGAGCATCAAAGAAGCCATCTACATGTTGTTATTGAAAATAATCTGCACGGATTTTGTGCCCTTGTTTCCAAGAATTGCAGTCAAAATACAGATTCACTTCAGAATTGGACGATAATCAAGGTTAACCTGTCTGACAGTGCCACAGATTCAAATACAGCCTGACTTTTTCTCGACTATAACAAAGGCAGTGCTGTTGACCAAAACTCTCTCCTCCTTTTCCCAAACTTTCAGAAAGGCTGCCTTTGTCAGCACCTCATGCAGTGAAGTTGCGATAGGTGACCATTCTGGCCAAGGAGCCTTAGTGCCAGTGTTACGAGTCACTTTGGGCCAAAGGATGAAAGAGCAGCCAGTTTTCCATCTGCTCTCTCTTCTCCTGTTCTCTGCACTACGGAAACACCGCATCACGGATGGAGAACCACGGTAAGGAAACAGCCTGGACCCTAAATCATTGTTTGAATGGAGTTGTCTTGAAGCAATAGAGGCCTCTCTTTAAGAAAAACTCTGGAAGGGTTAAGTCACTAGAGTTCTTGATTAATTTATTACTGCAGCCTTCATTAGCCTCAGATCTTGACTGAGGCTTTTCCCTCCAAGCTGAGTGCTGCATTTCTTGTATTTATCAATAGTCAATATTATTTTTCATTAAAAATACAATTCCATACTTTAAAATAACTCATTATTATTACTGTAGCATTTTTTTATTATTCCTTTGTGAGTGCTTGTCCTTCAGGTCCCATTATTATCCCTAAAACCAGTCCCATAAGTCACAGTTGTTTGGGGTCTGGAAGTGGTCAATGAATATATACTCATATCTATTTCCTGTCTTAGAACCTAAAATGTTCTTTCCCCAGATATACACTCTACTAATTAATTCTTCATCTTCTTTCTTTGTGAAATTCTTACCTTCTCAATGAAGTCTATACAGACTATGCTAATTTATTCTACCAACTGTACCTGTACACACACACAGCCCAAATGATTCTTATACATTTTACTTTTCATTTTTTCTACAGTGAAATTTATCTTCCTCTATAGTATGTAATTTACTTGGTTGTTGTAATTATTTTCAATCTTGTACCTATCTCTGCCTTGGTAGTAAATCCCACCAAGGGTAGATTTTCATTTGTTTTGTTCATTATTAGAAAAGTATCTCACATCAACTAGTCATTCAACAAATATTTGCTGAATTAAAAAGATATATTCATATAGAACAAGGCTTGCTGCTGCACAATGTGAGAGATACAAAGATTCACAGGTAAGTGTAAAATCTAGAAAAAGGCATAAATGAAGCCCAATATCACTACAATGGCAAGCAAGCATAGAGTGTTGTGTTATTGAGCTATACAACAACAAAAACCTTTAAAGAACTAAAGTCCTGTCATTTGTGGTAACATAGCTGGAACTGGAGGACATTATGTTCAGTGAAAGAAGTGAGGCACAGAAAAGAAAATATCACATGTTCTCACTCATATTTGGAAGCTAAAAAAAGGTGATCTCTAGAAAGAGAGAATAGATACTAGTTGGCAGAGGAGGGAAGTGGGGGCGATGCAGGAGAATGGCTAACATGTATGGCTCGCAGGTCTATAGGAGGAATAATTCTTAATGTCTCATAGCACAGCATGATAATTATGACTGACAGAATTCAGTTATACATTTCAAAATATGTAGCAGAGAGGATTTTAAGTGTTAGCATAAACAAATTATAAACATTTGAGGTGGTAGGTGTATAAATTACCCTGATCTGATTATGATGCATTATGGACATATATTGAAATATCACATTGACCACATAAATAAATACGGGTCATTATGTACCCATAAACATTTTTAAATCAAATAAAATGTAGCATGTGTAGAATATGAAAAGATTCTCTCCATTCTGGTAGTGCATGTATACATGTGCATGTGCGCATGTGGTGTATTTGTTTATATCCAAAGGAGCAATTTCCCTGTCAATTTTGTCCTAGTCTTTTGAGCTTGTTGAATTTCTCAATTCAAGCTTTACTTAAATGGTTTAGTCACTCCATATTTCTCAAGATTAGAAAAATATGAATTCTCTCCAACAGTGCAAAATCGCTGCAGAGCAACAGGCTTATGAAGCTCAAGGTTGATTCTACTCTAAGAAACTCCTTGAGAATGTTGTTCATTACCTTATAGCCTGCCTGCTCCATGAAGACCTCAGGGAGGAATTCGTGGAAAGCTTAAGTATTATGTACAGCTTTGGGTCTGCTGAACAGTCAGCCCGTTTTTCATAGGGACAGTACGAACTGCATAATTCATTAGGTTTTCCTTTTCACATTGTCCATTGGAAGCTTTGATCCAAATTTGTGCTTCATCTGTTACACACAAGGTATGGACCTTTAAGGCTTGTATTTTAGTGTATCAGTATCCTCATTCCTACTTTCTTTTTCTGTCCCTACTCCTGTTTTGCCTTTCCTTTCTCGCCTTCTTTTAAAGCATGTTTATTTATTTATTTTATATCCCTATAAGCCGCTCCAAATCCTTTTTGAAAGTAGTCAAGGGAAACATAAAGAAAGCAGTGGTTTTATATCTATTGGGGGAGATCACTGTGTTGTGTGCATGAAAGGGAGAATGAAGAAAGAAAAAGAGGCAAACAATGAGTGAGCAAGGAAGAAAGAAAAGGAAATAGCAAGAGAATAGAAAGTGGTATAGCCCCTGCCCTCAAGGAACTTGAGGGGTGATGGCCCAGAACTCTGTGCACTGCTTTACTGCTCATTGATTTCTCCCCTCTGTGAACTCCAGCAGCACTTAGAGTCAATAACGCCCAATTTAGCACTCGGTGATATACTGCTTGGTGCTGTCTGCTTATTGTTTTATGTGGTTAAGTGTTGCCTTTTGGGCAGGGATCTGTGTTAACTTCTCCTGTCTTTTCATAGTGAGGAGTGCAGTGGTTCTGTAGATTGACTGATTGATCAAGAAGCCGTCCATCCTTCCAGAAGGACAGTCAAGTCCCTCTGAACACACTGGCTAGTGCAGCCAAGCCCCTTGGACCCGCTGGTCTCACAGCCACACTGCCTGATTTATCCTTGCTGGAGGCAAGGGTCTTTGAAGAAATAGACTCGCATATAGTTCTATGTGTCAGGGTTGTGTCTCAGTGTATTGCTGCAAGAATTGAAATTGTGTAATACTACTGAATAATTAACCTTTGCATTTGTCAGATTTGCTGATCACTTGCTGTGTGTCAGGCACTGTTGTGTATTTTTATATTGTATCAGTAAAAAAAAAACAAAGAAAAAAAAACTCCTGCCCTGATGGTGTTTATAAATAGGCAGTATATGTATGTTGGAGGTGGGAAGGACATCAAACGTGAGATATAAAAATAGACAAATTACACAGTATGTGAGAAAGAGGTAAGTGTTATAAAAACCAGAAAGACATGGAGAATGAGGGGCTTGGAAGTGTGGCATGAGGTCAGAGTTGAGACTGTAAATGAAATCATGGCTAAGGGTCTCACTGAGAAGTGGCATCTGAGCAAAGACGGAAAAGAAGTGAGGGAGTGACAGACATCCACATCTTCCCTAAATATAGCTGTGTAAAGGTCCTGATGCAGAAATGAGCCAAGAGGACTCAAGAAGGAGCAAAAAGGCCAATATGGTTAAAATAGAAAGAGCAAGGGAGAGGACAGCAAGAAATGCAATCAGAGCATTAGTAGCGATTTGGCTTGGGAATGGCTCTGGAGGAGAGTACAAGTTTACTCCCAGCAGGACAAAAAGCTACCTAGGGAAAATGAGCAATAGGATGCAAATTGTTTTGGAGGTGGTTATTCTGCTGCTTTGTTGATATCAGAACAGGGGCAGTGGTGGGAGCTGGGTGACCTGCTAGAAACCTATGGAACCTACATGAGCAGAAATGGCAATCAGATCAGGGACAAGTGCTGCAAAAGTGGTGGCAAATGGCCAGATTCTAAAGATGAATTGAAAAGTGAGACCGGCCCTACTTCCTGATGGTTTGGATATGGAATGCGAGAGTGGGAACAAGGATGGATCTGCATGAACTGAAGGATGGAGTTGTCATCATGGAGTTGGAGAAGCCTCGGGAAGGTACAGATTTGAGAGAGAAGGTGCTTCGCTTTGGACACTGATTTTCACACGTCTGTTAGCCTTCTCAGTGGGGACTGGACTGCTGCTGTCTGCTGTCTGCTAAAGCGAGGGGTCTGGAATGGAAGGCACACTTGGCAGCCATTGGAATACCGAGGTGATTTAAAGCCTTAAGACTGTAGGAGGCAAGTGATTAGAGCAGGTAGAGAGGCAAAGATGCCAAGCAAGATGTGAACCCTGTGACCTGACATCATTAGTCAGTAGAAGGGAAGAGAAGGAATCACTGCTAGAGCTTGAGAAGGTGTGGTCAGTGAAGCAGAAAGAAAATCAGGAAAGTGGTATCTTGAGAAAGTAAAGATATATAAAAGAGGAAGGGGTTATTCAGTGGGTTGAGCCCACTGAAAGGTCAATTTAGATAAGGACAAAATTGATGAAGATGCAGAGGCGGTGCCCTAGATAAGAGCAGTTTCAATGGACTGAGATATCCAAGGGATTGACCAGAATGAGTTTAGGGGAGAATGGCAAAGGAGAAATGGGAAGCAATAAGTAGAGATAACTCTTTCAAGGGCTCTGCTGCAAAAGGGAGAAAAATAGTAGCTCATGAGGGAAGTGAGAATCACAAGATTTTTTTTTTCTTTTTTAGATGAGAGAAATAAATAGCAGGAGAGCAATAGTTTTTGCATGTCAATGGAACTATTTTGGAAGAAAATGGGAAAATCGATGGTGCAAGGGGTTTGCAGAATTGTGGAAGTGGTGTTCTTCAATATGAAGGAGGGGAAAGGAAGCACATGCAGAGGCTGGCTTCGGGGGGGGGGAGAGGAGAACTCGGCAGTAGGAAGAACTGGGGCGCAGGTGAAGGCAGACGTTGTGTTGAATGTCACACTATAACAGCAGCTGCTTTTTATTGCACAGGTAAGTTGAGCTAAGCAGTTGCATGTGCTGGAACTTTTGCTCCCATTGCAGTGGTGACTGGAGGCAGGGCCTCTAAGGGGTGATGAGGTTGTGAAGAGAGATCCCTGCCTTTCTTTTTTTTGTGTGTGCGTGGTACCGGGGATCAAACTCAGGTCCTTGCTCTTGCGAGGCAGGCCACCGAACCGCTGAGCTAAATCCCCAGTCCTATCCCTACCTTTCTTGAGGGCTGAATTGCTTACTGCATGCAGCTTTGGTTATAAATCAAGGTGGCCCCTGAGTTTTCTGTCTTCCATTCGTGGCCACTTGTCCTGCTTTTCACCAAGTCACTCTGCCATAGGAGGCCCTTGCCGGATGCCAGTACCATGCCTTGGGCTTTCAGCCCCCAGAACCACGAGGCAAATAAACTTCTTAGGAATTACTCAATCTTAGGTATTCTGTTATAATGAGAGAAAT